CAGCGGAGGAGTACCAGGCCATCCAGAGCGCCCTGAGGCAGAGGCTGGGCCCGGAGTACATCAGCAGCCGCATGGCCGGGGGAGGCCAGAAGGTAGGGACGGGGTCTGAGCCCAAACTGTGGGTGCCCATGTGCTGGGGGCCTGTGTCAGTCTTGCGATTCCTTCATGGCTCTGGCTGGGGGCTGTGTGTGGTGGGCTGGGTACTGTGTGCTGTGCGCTGTGTGCTCGGGGCTGTGTGCTGGGTACTGTGTGCTGTGTGCTGGGTGCCCGGGGCTGTGTGCTGGGTGCTGTGGGCTCGGGGCTGTGTGCTGGGTGCTGGGTGCTGGGTGCTCGGGGCTGGGCCAGGGTCCAGCCTTCATGGTCATGGGAAGAAGCCTTGGATAATGATCATGTTTGGGTTCTTGCATTTTTAAGCAGTGTTTCCTTTGCCATTTGTTTCTAATGTATGTTTCTGGTGTTCCGTCAAATATGTCCACCTGAGATTTATGTATATTTTTTTGAAACTGAGTTTGGCAAGTTCACTGAGTGAAGTGCGAGAAGGTATCTTTGCTGTGAGCGTCCTCGCCCCCTTCATCCTGTAAGATTTTTGCAGTTCGTCCACTGGGAGTTTCTTTGTGCTGTTTAAGAGCACTTCTTGCCAAAGCATCTAGATAAGAATAAATTATGTTAATTTGAGTTCATATTTAAAGATCATGGGGAATTTAGCATAGCCTTTTCCCAAAAAGAAGAAGCTTTGTTTTCTAGGTATGCTACATCGAGGGCCACAAGGTCATCAGCCTGGCCAATGAAATGTTTGGTTACAACGGCTGGGCCCACTCGGTCACGCAGCAGAACGTGGGTGAGTCCAGCTGCCCCTCACCCCTGGGGCCTTGTCCTGTGTCCGCTGCCAGAGTTCTGTGGCTGGGGGATCCTGGGGGGTCGCGGGGAGGCGGGCCGGGCCGGGGAGCAGGCTCAACTCAGCCCGGTCTCTTTCTCAACCCCAGATTTTGTGGACCTCAACAACGGCAAGTTCTACGTGGGCGTGTGTGCGTTCGTGAGGGTGCAGCTGAAGGTGAGCAGGGCGCTGTCTGCAAGGGCTGGGGGTCTCGGGGGGCACTGCATCCGCTCCGGGGGGACTTCCGGTCCATCCCCGTTCACATTTATAAGTTTACAGCCCTCACTCTGTTAACTAGGTCAAAGGGTGTTTTTTTTTTTTCATTTTACGTATTGTAAAGTTTTATATTTTAAAATAAATCTGATTAAAAAATGTGCCAGTGGAATCTGAATACCATAGGGGATTAAATCCAGTCATTCATTTGAAAAAAAAAAATGCATAACTAAGCTGGTATTCAGTCATTAGAAGTTTCGTGTTGTTCCTTCCTTGTCTGAAGTTGCTTCTGTTCTGCCTCCTGCCGGCTTTCATGCTAATGTACACGTGGGGCCAAAAGCTTTATTTATTTATTTTTTAAAAATATATATATATTTTTTAATTTTTAAATTTTTATTTATTTTTTATGTCTTTATTTTTTAATTGTTAATAACATTGTATTATGTGATACAGTTCCATAGGTGCTTGGATTTCCCCCGCTCCTCCCACAACCCTCCCCCCAAAAGCTTTATTAATTGCATTGGGCTTCTGTGCTTGCACGTGTACATGTGTGCAAACGCGTGTACAGGAAGTTAGTTTTGGGGTGAATTCCCAGTGACCTTACGGCTACAAATATGAAGAGACTTTTTCTGGCTTGCGTTATTAATGGCAGTTACTGTTACACACCAGTCAATGCCAGACAGTTACACTGGACAGACACGGCATCACACATCGAGATTTTGATAATCAAAATAAAAAATAAAATTAGGTGGACAGTGGAAGTCTTACTGAGATTGTGGTGTTGGTCTTTAATTATGTATCATGGTTGACTATTTCTTTTATGAACATTCAGTTTCTTCTGTTTTGACGTATATATAGTTTTTAAAATTATAAAGATTATTCATTTTATTGATTGGAAAGACAGAAATGTAAATAGCTCCCTTTTTTTTTTTTTTTTGGTTTTCTCCTCAAATGTCTGCAATGGCTAAAGTCACGTGGAAGGCAGGAGCCAGGAACTCGGTCCAGGGGCCCGATGTGGGTGGCCGGGACGTGGGCACTTGAGGCCTTGCCTGCTGTTCCCAGGGGCACGTGAGAGATGCTGCAGGATGGCGGCCGGTGCCCTGAGCTGTATTTTGCTGAAGTCTTGAAAAACTGTGTTCACATAAGTGAAATGGCTGCATATGGGAAGAGGTTTGTTACAGTATCCCATATTGGAGCATTTTCAAGCTCCATTCCGAGATGCAGCGCGGCCATCACTCGTTACAGTTCATTCTCTGTCCACCACCGACAGTTCGCCCTGGTCCTTCACTCTGGCTGAAGGCCGAGGCGGGTGCGGCCTGACCTGGGCAAGGACTGCCCTTCGGTCCTTGGAGGCCACACCTGCCGCAGCTCAGGTGGCCCGTTGGATGGTGTGGGAGGGGTTTCCGTGCCCTGGAGTGATGCTGCATGGTCGGGCTGGGGCCGAGGGATGAGCTGGGAGAGTGGCCCTGATGCCTTCGTGGCCCGCAGGGGTCTGCAGGATGCTGGAGATGTAGGGCCAGTGCCACTGTGGAGGCGGGGGGGGGGGTGCCGTGGAACCAGAGCCTGCCCCACCACCGCCTTCTCTCCCCCGCCAGGATGGCTCCTATCATGAAGACGTGGGCTACGGAATTAGTGAGGGCCTCAAGTCCAAGGCCTTGGCACTGGAGAAGGCTAGGAAGGAGGCCGTGACCGATGGGCTGAAGCGGGCACTCAGGTAAGCACGGGCAGCTGGAGCAGGCTTGGGGGAGGACGTGTGGGTCTGGGTTCCTGTGAGAGGCCTGCAGCCTCGGGTCCCCGCCCCTTCTTCTGGCTCCTGGGGTGGGGTGGGGGACGTGGGGGGCATGACGCTGGGCACTCACTCCCTCTTGGACTCGCCTCCTGGGATGGCAGTGTCTGCAGTGTGGCTCACTTAGCTCTGCAGCTGGACGGTGTCCTGGGCCACAGCTGCCTTAGCACTGAAGCACACGGAGTCGCCAGAGCCCAGATGTGCATGCCCCAGTCCAGCTGTGTGAGTCCCACGTGCACAGCCCGAGGCGTGGGCAGCAGCGGAGGGTGCCCCCGTGGGCCACTGCCCTGGGGACGAGGACCTGCCCCCGGTGTGGCGGTGTGGCTCTGGGAGGGGTTTCTTGGTCCTCCCACGGTCACTGTGTCTCCGCCAGGGACATTCCCCGCTGGGTTCTCCCCGTTGCCCTGGACAGGCAATTTGTACAAAAGCTCCAAGGGACCAGGATGGGACCAGACACCCCCGTCCCATCCTGGAGTGTATGGGTTCGCCCCTTGAGCAGCCTGCTGGGGGGCAGTACGAGCTGGCTTCCTGCCTGCTGAGCTCCCGGCGTGGGGGAGTGAGCAGCAAAAGGGAGTTCTCTCTCTCTCTCTCTCTCTCTCTCTCTCTCTCTCTCGCTCTCTCGCTCTCTCGCTCTCTCGCTCTCTCGCTCTCTCTCTCTCAGCTAAAGGTAAGTATGGAAAGTCGGGTCCCTGTGTTCTCTGCTAGGCGCCTAGAGCCGCTCTCAGCCCGTCTCACTGTGCCCTCGCCTGCAGGAGCTTTGGGAACGCACTGGGAAACTGTATCCTAGACAAAGACTACCTGCGCTCGCTCAACAAGCTTCCACGCCAGGTGAGGCGCCTGCGTGGGCCGGGGGCGTGGGGCAGCGGGGCAGCGGTGGCGTCGACGGAGATACTAAGGGCTTGGCTGGTGGGTGTAAGTGGGGGTCGCTTGGCCCCCGTCCCGGGTGCCCACAGGCCCCGGGCTCAGAGGGCTGAGCTGCGGGGAGAGGGTCCCGCGCGTGGGTCGAGGCGGTTCTAGCTATCATTGTTTGAGGAACTGCAGTTCAGATCCCCACACTGAGGTTGGGGGGCGGCCCTCCCAGGATGCCCGGGTTCTCGCCTCCTTGACAGCACTGGCAGCCTTCTAGGAATTGCATTCATTTGTAATTCCTTTAGGTAGTGTGAATGTTACAACAGCAGCGAGCCTTCCCACTCGTGAACCGGGTTGAGTCTTTCGCCAGAGCTGGGTTAGTCCACAGCCAGGAGCCAGGAGCTGCAGCAGCTCTGCCACACGGGTGCAGGGACCCAAGCACGTGGGCCATCCGCCACTGCTCTCCCAGGGTGTTAAAAAGGAGCTGGATCAGAAGCAGAGCAGCTGGGATTCGAACTGGTGCCCCTGTGGGATGCCGGCACTGCAAGTGGTGGCTTGACTTGCTACACTGCAGTGCTTGCCTCAGAGCTGCTTTCTTATTGCCCTTTTCCAATTGCTCAGTAACATACAGAGAAGCAGTTGAGTTTTGGTTTGGTTTTGTTCCCTGCTGAACTCATTTATTCTAGCAGGGCTTATGTGGGTAGTTGTGTGGTTTTTTTTTTTAGAATTATTTGGTTTTTTTTTTATTTAAAAACATATTTATTTATTTTTTAATATATTTTTATTTTTAATTATGTGGTACAATTTCGTATAGGCTTGGATTTCCCCCCAAACTCCCACCCCCGACAGATTTTCCCCATTTTACTACAGTGGTATAGTCCTTTGTAAGGAATCATAATTCCACCAGTCTCTTGTTTAAGTGTATCCTGACATTGCTGGTACAGACAGTGTCAGACAGCCCAGCATCCCATTGTCTACACATGTCCAGCGGTTTCACTGGGAGTCCATATTTCATCTGGAAGCAGGGATGCATGCTCCCTTATACCCCCACATCTGGATATAGCGGACCCCAGTACTCCATTACCATAGGTTTATTTTTATTTGAAAGGTAGAATTAGAAAGAGATCTTCCATCCACCAATTCACTCCCCAAATGGCTGCAACACCTAGAGGCGGGCCAGTGTGAAGCCGGAGGCAGCTCCTATAGGGGATGCGGGCACAGCAGGAGGTGGTTTAGTGTGCTGTGGCACCTGTTACAGTCTTTGTCTTCACAGAAGATCATGTAAGGGTACCTTGTGGTGCAGGGCATTAAGCCACCTCTTGAGATGCAGGCATCCCATATTAGATCCTGGCTGTTGCACTTCAAGTCTAGCTCCCTGCCAGCGTGCCTGGGAGAGGCAGTAGAAGATGGCTGCTGACCTGGGTGGGGTTTTTGTCCATTTTGGCCCCTGGCTTGTTGCAGCCATTTGGGGAGTAAACCAATAGATGGGAGAAAGATCTCTCCTGTGTATTCAATAAATAAATTAAATCCCTAAAAACAAATAGATCATGTCAATATGAAGCCTGCTTCCCACTGTGTACGCCACTACTCTAGTTTCTGTAATGCCTCGTCACTGTGGTTGGAATCTTTAGTGCTAGTTAGAAGTGGGGACAGCAGATTTCAAAGATTTATTTATTTATGGGCCTGGCGTGATAGCCTAATGGCTAAGGTCTTCGCCTTGAACGCACCGGGATCCCATATGGGCGCTGGTTCTAATCCAGCTCCACTTCCCATCCAGCTCCCTGCCTGTGGCCTGGGAAAGCAGTCAAGGAAGGCCCAAAGCTTTGGGACCCTGCACCCGCATGGGAGACCTGGAGAAGCTCCAGGCTTCAGTTCGGTTCAGCTTCTGCTGTTGTGGCCGCTTGGGGAGTGAACCAGCAGACGGATCTTCCTGTCTCTCCTCCTCTCTGTGTATCTGACTTTCCAATGAAGCGCAGTTCCAGAGGAGACGGAGAGATCTTCCATCCGCTGGTTCACTCTCCTGACGGGCCAGGCTGGAGCCAGGAGCATCCTCCAGGTCTCCCATGTGGACACAGGGACACGAGCACTTGGGCCAGCCTCCGCTGCCTCCCCCGGTGCCTGAGCAGACAGCTGGCACTGTGGGCACCGGCCCCTAGGGCAGGCATCTTGGCCTGGTTCCTCATCTTTCAGGAAAAGCCACCTTTTCCCATAGAATGTTCATCAGCCTGAGGTGAAAGTCCCAGTTGACTGTGTTGTGTCCATGTTTGTCAGGGGGTTTTCTGGAATCAGTTGAGATGCCCATGGGGCGTGTCCTCCAGCCTCTCGCCACGCGCCCCGTCCTCCCCACGTGGGCTGGCCGGCTGGGCACGGGCCCGTGTGCTGTGCGCTTGCTTTGCTGAGGATTTTGCAGTTAACTTTTGTCTCTGTCCGGATTCGTTTTGTTTTCTTCGTCTGGTGGAAGGTTTGTCTGTTTTATTGGGATGAGCAGTTGGAGAAAGTTTTTTTGTTGTTGTTTTGTTTTTTAAATTTTCCTTTCTCCCTTGGCAGTTGCCTGTTGACGTGGATTTGAGTAAAGCAAAGAGAGAAGACTTTGAGCCATCTGTGGAGCAGGCAAGATATAAGAGCTGTCGCCCGCACGTGGCTCTGGGACCTGCCCCGGCACCCGAGGGGACCTCCCCCTGCAGACCAAGCCACCCGGACAACGCCCACGTGGTGACAGTGGGGGATAAAGAAGGCAGCTCCCGGTACGGGCCGCCTCCCGCTCCTGGCTTTCCTCTCCCCGGCCTCGGTTTGCTGGCTCCGCATGCGTCAGCTAACACGGCAGCACCTCCTGTTGCAGACGTGCCGGGAGCGAGGCCACTCAGCAGCGGAAGCTCCGGCAGAAGCAGCTGCAGCAGCAGTTCCGGGAGCAGATGGAGAAGCAGCAGCAGGTGCCCACGTCGGCCCCGCCCGCAGACGTGGAGCCCGAGGGTGTGTGAGAGAAGGACCGGAGGAGGGAGCTGGGTGATGGGACAGCCCATCTTGTTTAGGGAAGGGGAAGCGCCTGACAGGTCAGGGTGGAGAGCATTCCGCTGCAGGCCTGGTGGTCTTTGTGCAGTAGGCGGGGCTGGGTTGGAACAGGAGCTCTGCGGAGACTGCCCTGCAGGACTGGGAGTCAGAGGGCTCAGTTGCATGTGCTGTATCAGGAACCTCCTGTGGGCTGAGCTTTGCTGATGGGGCGGGGGAGGTCGGCCTCCAGGACCTGTGCCACCCCCTAGCAGACTGCCAGGGCCTTCATTTTGCTTGTCTTACACGTTGCATTCTTGCTTCAGTTTGTTCAAATAATGGTTAATGGCTTCCATGGGTTCGGATTTAGGGCAGGCCTGGGCCTCAGGAGTGAGCCGTGGGTGCTGTGTGTTTGTGTCTGACTTGTCTTTCCCCCTCTCGTGAACCCCAGGGGCGCTCCCTGCTCCCCCCGTGACACACAGCACGCCCATACCTGCCGTCTCTGAACCTGGCACCGAGAAAGATTCCCTTGCAGGTACCACCTCTGACTGCGTTAGCGCATCCCTGTGCGGGGCTCGCAGGTCCGTTCCCTGGCCCCAGGGAGACTGAGAAGTGGAAGACCCAAAGTGGGTTGCTGGGGTCCCGAGTGGGAGCACAGGGAGCGCCTCAGTGTGCGTGCGGGTGGGGGACCCCGGGAGCCGCCCCCTTCCCAGTACTCGGTGTGACGTTATGCTGAGGTTTATGCTTTCCGTGGCCTTTGCAGAGAACCTGGACGAAAACCTGGACCTGTGGGATGAGACGCCGGATATCCTGGACGATGTCATCAGGCCGTGGCCTGGGGCGCAGCCAGCCCAGGCCTCTGCCACTCCCGCCCCGAAGGTCGAGCTGGAGACCTGGCGCAGGGGCACCCACAGCCTTTGCCAGCAGAAGCAACCCACCAAGTCTGCACCCTGGCACCCTCAGGGGCTTGGCACTGACCAGCACGGAACAGGTAGCCTAGAGGAGCGTTCAGCAACAAAATAAAAGGGACCGCCTGGATTTGATCCTGTGCATCCTTCAAGCAAGGGTGCCATTTTGTGAGCAGGCGCTGCACACAGGTGCTTAGCGGTAGGCCATTCCTGCTCCTGTGTGTCCTGGGGGACAGCGACAGTGGCCTGGCTTTGTTGTGACCCGGCCCCGCAGTTCAGAGCATCTGGGGAGCAAACCAGCAGGTGGGAGATTTTTCTCTTTCACATAAAAAGGAATGGATGAATATGGGGCCAGTATGGTGGCACAGCGTGTTAGCCAGCTGGGTGTTGGAGTCGCAGGTGCTCTGCTTCCTGTCCAGCTTCCTGCCAAGCCTGGGGAGGCCTTGCTGTCGGCCCCCGGCCCGGCCCTGGCTGTTACAACTGGGGAGTGAACCATTGGATGGAAGATCTTGTCTCTCCATCTTTCAAATAAATGTGTCTTGAACCTGAATGAGAAATTGGATATTTTTAAAAGACTTAAAAAATTTTTAAAAATCAGATTTACAGAGAGGAGAGACAGAAAGATCTTTCTGTCCACTGATTCACTCCCCAAGTGACCGCACCAGCCGGAGCTACGCTGATGCGAAGTCAGGAGCCAGGAGCTCTTCTGGGTCTCCCACGTGGGTGCAGGGTCCCAAGGCTTGGGACCATCCTGGGTTGCTTTCCCAGGCTACAGGCAGGGAGCTGGATGGGAAGCAGGGCTGCCAGGATTAGAACTGTTGCCCGTATGGGATCCCAGTGCATGCAAAGCAAGGATTTAGCTACTAGGCTATTGCACTGGGCCCAGATAGGATTATTGTAAGGTGCTAAGAAATGCTAAGCTGATGGTTAAGCTCCTTTCCCTCAGAGCTCCCGACTCCTGGTCTTTGCTGCTGGCAGCAGGCCGCGTGTGAGCGTGCCACGAGTGATGCCATTCTCGGGCTTTTACTCTAAATGATGAGCACGACCCAATGTGACTCCCGGGTAGAACAGCTTCTTCCTTAGTTTAAAGTCATGGCAGTGACAGGTCATCCCTGTGTCGCCCACAGGAAACTACAACTTGGACGGGAAGAGCCAGGACATGAAGAAAAGGAAGCTGGAGCCATCCTGAGGCCTGGGCCGCGATTCTGGGGTTTGTCAGAAGGGACTTGTAGTACTTCGCAGTTCTGAGGAATGAACTTTTCCCAGGGTTTACCTTGGTTCCTCCCGAACCGAACCGGTGGGCTGGCCGTCGGGGCGCTGCGGGAAAGCCGGGGACCTAGAGGAGTCGTGGCTCAGCGCGGTGGCAAGGCTCCGGGTCGATGAAGCTCCTGCCTCGGGCCCCAAAGGCTGTCTCAGTGTTTGTTCTATTCAGCTGTGTTAATAAAGAGACATTTTAGGACTCGCCAGCAGCCGCCTGCCTCGAAGCAGTGTTGGCTTTTCACTGAGCCGCCCTCCCCTGCCCCGCTGCTGGCTCTGTCAGTCTCCTTTTGCTGAGGCATGAGTTCTGGGACACCCGGGGGCACCTGGAACCCCAGGAGCCAACCCACTGGCACCCGCAGGCACTCTGGCTTCATTTTCTGCAGGTTGACGTTCTCAGTCTCACCAGCAAACCGGCTGCGGGGCTCACAGGTTAAGCCACCACTTAAGAAGCTGCCGTCTTACGCTGGAGCAGTGGTTCAAGTCTTGGCTGTTCTGCTCACACGCCTGGGAAGGCAGCAGAGGACGGCTCAAGTGCTCAGGCCCTGGGACCTGTGTGGGAGCCAACGGAGCTCGGATTCCTGGCCTTGGCCTGGTTCGGCCCCAGCTCCGGGGGGCGTGGGGTCTTCTGGGGAGTGAGCTAGCAGATACGCGCACTGCTTCTCTCTGCCCTTCGAATCCTTAGTTTCAGCACTCCCATCCCTCCTCATCAGTGAGAATGTTCAGCTTTTCACGTTGACAAGTTCTCCTTGGCATGTCTGGGTGACCTGCATCACCACGCCTGCACCTCAAAGGAAAGGTCACTTAGCTGGGGGTGCTGCCAGGATGGTGTGGCTTCCCCGGGCGCACCTGCATGCCCCACTCAGGACAGTGCAGATGAACAGGCCTGGGGTGGTGGTTCGAGTCACGTCTGCTCCACTCGGGATCCAGCTTCCGGCTAATGGCCTGGGAAAGCAATAGAGGACGGCCCAAGGCCTTGGGACCCTGCACCTGCGTGGGAGACCCAGAGGCAGCACTCCTGCCTTGGGATCAGCCCAGCTCCAACCACTGTGGCCACTTGGGGAATGAACCAGCAGATGAATGTCTCTTTCAAGTAAAATAAATCTTTATTAAAAAAAAAATTACTTTTGAAAGAATGGAAAGCAAAACCATGGGTAAGGGGGCACTACTGTACAATCTATTTTATGGGTTTGTGACATCAGAGTCCTGCACTCAGGACCACCCTAAGGAGACCACCCTAAGGAGACTGTGACCCAGACTAGAAAGGCATTTATGGAAGTAAATTATTTTTTAAGAAAATTCCAAACAACAGGAGCTGATTTAGTTTCCCTCTTGCAGCTGTTATGTAACCTGCCTTCACGTAAAGTGGCTTCTGGTTTTTGACGCCTCACAGCACTTTCCTCGGGGAGTTGAGTTCTACTCTGTGAAGTGCTGTAAGGGCTGAGCCGTTGGCAGACAAAGCGGTTACTCTGGAGCACACACCCTCCCCGCGTGGGAAGCCGTGAAGCTGGGAGGGGCTTTCCGAGGGCCCGACGCTGGCTCGTCGCAGGCCTCTCTGGAACAGGACGAGGTAGCAGGCTGCCCACATTTCTCTTCGTCTTAAGCGTGACTTTGTCGTCGCGTGGGTTTGGTCATATGTTCATTTTTTGGTTTTGGTATGCTTATTGTTGTCCTCCAAAAAAGAAAGAAAAAATCACCTTTGTAGGACAGGGCAAAATTTTATGCTAAAAACAGTTCCTGCAAATTAGGAACTTTGCACACAACTCCCAATACAGCCAATGAGACAAAACCCCAGAGCTCAACAAAAGCGAGTTTGGTTTATTTGAACGGTTTCATTAAATAAGTTCTACAAAGGTAACAAACTGAAGCACAAAGCGCAATCTTACAAGGAGCGCCACACCCAGAGTTAGTGCAAAATGTACAGGAACGGCTGCTGCGAAACCCCCGGATGGTGTACACTGTTAAATAATGTAAGGAAAACATATAATTCAGAAAGTTTTTTTTTTAAATGTGGAAAAAGATAGTCAAAGTGTATTATTAACAAAAATAATTTAAACAGTTCAGTAGCACTAGTTCATTCCTCTAGGCTTCAGTTACTACTTCCACAGGAGGGGAAACCAATAGCAAATGAAACCAGTTCTTACTGTTGGTATGAGTGAGAAGATTTCAAAATGTTTAAATCAAAGTAACAGACCACCACTGCGCTGCACCTGGCTGCCCTGCCTGCTCCCGGGTGCCGGCTCACGTCTGGCACCCGCTGCCCATCTCCTTGGCACCAGTGCGACCACAGTGATTCAAGCAGAGGGCAAGCCAACAGTTGGGAAGCAGACCTCGACACCTCTCTCCTCATTTCTACCTTCCTGAAACCTGCAGTTGTTACGACCATGTCCAGGCTCTGAGCCTGAGCACGAAGGGACAGCGTGTGGGGAGCAGCGACGCTCCTCCAGCCTGGACGTGTTGGAGATGTGCTGCTGAGCAGAGCAGAAGGCTGGAAACAGGTCAAGTTCTCAACTAAGTCGGAAGAAGCACCCCTAAGAGTGCTCGTTCCTTCTCCATCTTCAGAGAAAGAGAGCTCAAACACAGCCAGTGAGCACAGCACTTCCGGAAAACTCTGAAAACACAACTGCCCGTTACAACTAGGCATAACTTTAAATAATACTGGCTGGTTGCAGTTACAATTTAATGGGAACATTTACATGAAGATGTGAAAATATTAGTTACTCTAGAAAAAATGGTGGCACGTTAGATTGAGATCCTGCAACCACATTTGGACATTGCAGAGGAAAGGGTAGGAATATGCATTCTTCCCTTTAATGCTAATTCAGAAGTGGGTCTACTCCCTCAAGCCGAGAAACACACGGTCACAGCATCAAAAGGAAAGCAAGCCACGTGGTTTTTCTTAGAGGAACTTTTGCCATCTGGGATGCTGACAATCCCATTTTCCAACTTGCAACTGTTGCCTGTCCCCTTCTCTTTGTTCAGTACCCACTCAGTCTTGTGTGTTCAAGCCCAGCTCAGACGCATAAGGGTTAGGTTAGGACAGTCGCTGGCCAGGCACACACGTCTGTTTGCCCACGCTTCAGTCTGCCATCCAGCTCAATCTGCTCATCTCTGAAATGGCCCGATTCTCCCTCACTATTCTTGAAACAGACAGCTCGTAACCACTGACGTCCACTTCGCTTCTCACCTACTCATCTTCCACCTGCTCAGACAAAACTGCTGATGTCTACAAAAACATAAACAAAACAAAACAACAAATGCTTCAGTTTCCCTTTGGCATTTCCACTGTTGGGGTCACGAGGACCTAAGGTTTCCTTCCACGTGCCCTTGCTGATCTGGGGTCTGGTAAGTTGATGCTAATGGCAGAAGCAATGGAAGTCCAAGGCACTAAAATGTCCAGCAAGCAATACTGGGAGAACAGAAGTATTCAAGTACAGTAATTTATACAATTTTACATTCACATTTATTTATCTAATACAATGGGAATACAAAGGAAAAAGTTAAAGTGTCTTAATAAGTAAAGGACAGAGCTAGCTTTTTTTGGGGGGGGGGCTTTTTAAATCTTTCATATTTTACTCTTAAAACTACTGTTGTCCAACAACATTTATATATCACAGTGTTTCCACATCAAAACTGATGGCAGTTACATGTCCGCAGGGAACTTCATTTCTTTTTCCTAACTGCTAATGCTGCAGTCAAAGCTGCTAATATTTTTTGCTTAAAGCACTAATGACCTATCTCGTAACAAAGGGTTGCAGCCCCAGTCCCCCGGTGTTTTTCACTGGGTTCTAAGGGGGGTGGGGGAAGGAGAGACAGAGGGCGGGGAGGGAGAGAGCCCAGTAGCTTTATCATGTGGTTTGGATTCTGAGGAAGGGAGGGATTGGGGCATGTACCACAGTTGAGAGCTTCCCCCAGTTGGGTGCACGCTGAGCTCTCTGGTAGCTTCCACCAGTGCCCCCACCTCTGGGCGCAGGCAGCAGAGTCGAAGCTGCCCTTGCCAAGACAGCGGCTGCTTCCTTCTGCTCCCAGTCCCACCGAAAATCAAAAGGGCAGGGACAGGTTCCAATCGGAGGGCTCAAAGCGGTGTTACAAATACTCCCTTCTGGCGAGAACGAGCCAGTGAAACGCAGCACTAGCAGTTAGTATACAGGCTCCTCCCCCGCCCCAGCCTCCCTCAGCATTCCGTCTCCCGCCTCTAGGTCTGACTAAGTGGTGCGCAGGTTGGATCCTGGGGGGTTGCTGATGGATTTCTGCAAATTGCTGATGTTGAAGTTCTGCAAGGAGGCAGTTCCAACAGGCTGGAACTGGCCAAGTGGCTGTGGTGCTGGGCCACCCGTCCCACTCCACTGAGTGCCAAATGGGGCAGCTGGAAAACCGTACTGCTGTGGGGGGCACATAGCCTTGTTAAAGTGACCTAGAGAGGTAGCTGATGCTGCAGAGATGGGGGCAGAGCCACCCAGGTTCGAGGTCATGGAGATGCACAACTGCCCAGGTGCAGAGAACTTCCTTGCCATTCCAGGGCCCTGGAAACAAAACAACTACATGTAAAGTTTGGTGGGGGCACAACACCAATGGGTATAAAACAGGTGGTACTAAAATAATACTAGGCTTGACACTGTTTTAATTTAACAGAGTAGAGCAAAATAAAAACTTCCATTATGTTTACTGATTCTGTAATTGCCAAATAGGAAGAAGAGGGATGTTATGTGTATATCCTGTGCTTATAAAGTTTAGGATATTGGAGGAAAGGTTAGCAAAAACTTAGCTCATTAAGTGGCGGCCAATGGGTCTGGCATCGACCACAGTAGATGCCAGCATCTCATATGGGAGCAGTGGTTTGAGCCCTGGCTGATTTGCTTCCAAACCAGCTTCTGCTAACATGCCTAGAAAGCAGTGGAAAGGTTCAAATACTCGAGTCCCTGTCACCTAAGATAAAGACCAGGATGGGGCTCCTTGGCTGGCATGGCCATTTGAGGAGTGAACCATCGGTTGAAGATCTGTCCCCACCCCTGCCCTGTATTTCTCTGCTCTTCAATGAAATGACAAAATAAACCCTCAAAAAGAAGAATACACGAGCCATTAGAACAGGACAAAGCTGCAGAACAGCCATTAGAACAGAAGCTGCAGCTTCTGCCTCCTTTGATCCAGGTGGGTGTTGCTGGATTCCCCAGTTGGGTAGTAAAGTAGCAAAAAGGGGAACTTACCTCATAATTCATGTGCCCTTTGCTTCCTCTCCTGCCTGAAAGATTCATGGCATCTCGGGCCCAATTGTCCACCAGCTTGTGCAGGTCATCGGTGAATGTGCCCTTCCTGCTGGAGGTCCCGGCAGGAGGCTGAGCTGGCGCAGCCTGGCTGTTCACTGTCCCTGCAACCGTGTTTGTGCTGCTGGTCCCTAGGGTTAGGAGAGAAGACACAGCATTACGAGGCGCCTGGGCGGAGGGGATACTTCACAGGATGATGACTGGCAAGCCACAGAATGGGGAAAGGATGGACTGGGAAGCCATGCATGAAAGGAAGATTCTGAGTCATATTTGGCCTTTTTAGAAGTAACTGTATAGAAGGGTAATGAAATCAGGTTCCCTTCCATAGCTGCAGGAAGGCTGGTAACTCGGGATGATGGGAGGCTTGGGGCAGGGACAGTCCACCAGTCCTCTGAGCAACACCGTGAAGAGGAGCTGCGATAGGGTCTAGAGCTGGCTGCCGGAGAGCTTTGTGGCAAGCAGGCCCAAGGAGCGCATCTGTGCACTGAGGAGGGTCACAGTAGGACAAGGAATGCAAAGATAGGTGCTTGGCCAAGGAGCAGAGGGGGCTCCTACATCACATTAAGGAAACCACCACAGTCTTTTGGCTATTTTACAGGTAATGAGTACCATACTCTGATACAAATTTGGTCTTAACCCATACATCCTGATTGGTAAATACAAAATTGGGCAGAGTTAGGCCTTTAACCTGTTTCTGCTTCTCTTGAGTTCGAAAGAAGCAAGGCCCCTCTTGAGAAAGGGATTGTAGGATGGCCTGAATCTCAACTCCAGGATGACCTGGCTTTCCCATTTTCTGTGGTTCCAGGATTTTCAACCCCTCTCCCTACTCCTCCCAGGACAGCAAGCACCCCGACTAAAAGCAAGAGGAAATTCCAGCTGAGGCAGGGGTGCAAAGGAGAGGGGGAAGCTTTGAGGTTACAATGAAGAAGTTCGGTTTCTACGGTTTGATGCAGAAGGAAGGAGTCCGTGTCCTGCCTGATTTGGGCTCTGCCGGAGGGCACACTGGGGAGCGTTCGAAGAAGCGAGTTTCGAGGAAGAGGGAAACAAGTGTCATGGTCTCGGCTTTCGTTCTTGCCTAACCGCCCCCCCCCGCCCCTTTTCTTACCACATCTCACACATTTGCTGCAGAACAAAAGCTACTCCAATAAGCTGTGAGCTACAAGGCCTCAGATTATCCAAGTGACGCCAGGGGCTCCGGCCAGTACATGCACTTCCCTGCTGTCAGGTCCAAGCACAGCAGCACACCCGGTGCACTCACAAGCCCTCTGTCACCCACCGCTGCGTCTCACTGCCCAGGCAGTGGCGCACACAAGTGTGTCTGTGTTAAAAATAGCTAATCCCGGAGTGCAGCTGCAGTGTGAGGAAGGTGACATGCTTCTTACACCCATGGCAAGACGGGGAACTCCTGCAGTGTGAGTGTCAGCTTGCTTGGTGCCCACTGGAGTCACAAAGGGATTGTTATTGCATAGACAGTGTAAAGGGAAGGACAACTCCACTACAGCACTGGAAACCCAACTGGAGAAGGAGAAAAGCACGGGAAACAGCCTTCCTCAAGTAGCAGACAGGAGGCAGTGGTGAGGCGGGAAGCAGAGGCGATGGTGCGGGCAAGCACGTGCAGGAATGCAGACAGCAAGCACACCCCATGCGTGAGGACAGCATCCTGCTCAAGGATTACTGTTTGTGAGCTTGATGAATGACCCAGTGAACTAACAGAAGTCACAAGCATGGGCCCAGGAAGGTGAGCACTACGCAATCACCAAGCACTCGTGCTGGGATCACACCTCTACGGTCTCGGCGTTCGTCTGCTCGATGGTGCGGGGTCCCTTTGCCTACATTACTGACACTGGATTCTGCAAGTGGGGATTGACCCAAGGGACAGCCATCACTCCAGGAGGATCTCTCTCCCTCTCTAACTCTACCTTTCAAATATATATGTTTTTATTTTAAATAAAGGTGCGTGGGGGGGGGGGGCTAGCACTGTGGTGTCGTGTTGGCATTCCAATATGGGTGCCAGTTCGTGGCTAGGCTGCTCCACTTCCTATCACGCTGGGAAAGCAATGGAAGAGGAGGGCCCAAGTGCGTGCGTCAGCCACAGCACCCATTTGAGACCCAAAAGGAGCTCCTGGTTTTGACCTGGGCAACCCCAGCCATTTTAGGCCATTTGGGGTGTGACCCAGTGAGAGATCGCTCCCTCTGTCTCTCCTCTCCAACTGTACCTTTTAAATAAAGGTCTTACAAAAGAGGAGAGAGAGAGAGAGAGAGAGAGAGTGTGTGGTGTGTGTGTGCGTGTGTGTGTGTATGTGTGAACACATATCCCTTTGTGACCAGAAATAAACTCCCAAGGCAAGATCTGATTGCCTTCTAGAGAGGGTGTTAAAATTATCCTTAATATCTGTGTCAGTTCTGAGAAGTCCTGGGGAGCAGTATACAGTCTACTGGCCCAAAATAATTTTTTTATTTCCTTCTCCCACCATAATACATTTTTTTCTGTATCATCAGAGAGCAACAATACATTTTACAAACCAGAGTGTATCCATCACCCGATATTCTATCTCTAGAGTTTTATCAATCCTGTATAGTTGCTTTGCCGAGCTGTTAAATTATCTGTAATCTAAAGAGAAAGCGCCATGGGAGAAACCAAACCATAACAAATAGTGTTTTTCCTCTCACCAACCCAGCAGGCTTCTCCCACTTCAATGTCAATGCTTTGATTGCTATTAACTTTCCAGTGACAGGCACACATTTGCTGATTAAAGTTCTGTCTCTCTCCTGCAGGAGCCAGGGTTCTCTAACCCCCCCGTACATATCTAAGGGCGTCACCAACCCAGGACTGTGTGAGCGGGGCTCCCAGGAGTCCTCACTGAGCACTGACTCTGAGGTGCTTTCTCAATCGGCAAGTACAGCCAGTGGTGAGCAGCTAAGCGTGTTAGAAAAGGGTGCAGAGACGGAAGTTGGCGGTCAGAGCTCAGAGACCTCGTGGGTAACAGGCTTTGCAATCAAAGAACACAACAAAGAGGATAATTACTACAGAGCTGGTTGCAGGGACAGACTTTTTTCACCATCTTCCCTGAAGCACAAAGAGAGAGCAGTGTGTTAACAAAAACATCAGTGTACAATCTTTAGAATCCACACAGCACACAAAGACCCAGCAAGAGAGAACAGGAGGGGAGACAGACAGGTAGGGCCTGGCAGCCCTGACGCACACACAGTTCACTGTGGTCTGCCAGTGTGTTCTCAGTCTGCAGTTTCCTGACGGGCTTTTTCCCAGCTGACACACATTCACTCTGCACCGAGGAGGGTGAAGCAACTCAGCCTCTCAGGGCGCACTGTTTGAGCTGCAAGCATTCAGGCAGTGTTTCTGAGGACCCTGTCCCACTTTCTGTTTCTCCTGCTGGGTTGTTAGAAAGCACTCAACTTAGGACCACTGCTACAGTTTTAAGTTAATTCAAATTTAAATGGGCTATTATATTTCCACATCTTAGACCTTCCAGAAAAGTCTTTCAGCAGTATGTGGAAAACAAGCAATTTCTAAACAAATAGAGCAATAAGCCAAGCCGTGCTTCCAAATCATTAACTATCTTGACAGCATAGAATAAGGCATCCAAAACCAGTACGTCAACCCCCCCAGGGTTACATAACGGATCCTGTGACTTTCACAGATGTAGGGGCTCACATTCAGATGCAAAAAACTGACAATGTTGAATAATTCTAACCACTTTCACCTAACAATAGGGGAAATATCACCTACCTTCACAAGCGTGATGAGAATTTGCAGAATCGAGGCGATGCTAGCCCTATTACACTTCAAAAAAGGAAGCGTCGGTTCTCGTCCTTCCCTCTCAGACCTCTCGGCCTGACAGGTGGCACAGTACTCTCCTACATCTGATATTTTATCTTTTTAGCTGTACGCATAAATTAAGTGCTTATTAAGGCGTCAAGGTGCTAATACGCATGGTTCAGGAGAGTTTGATCAGAAAAATTATTGATCTCAGTGCTCAAGAAACAAAAACATAAAACCAAAAAGGTCCCCTTTCCTCCCAAGCACCTGCCAGCACGAGCAGTGCCCTTCCACCCTCCTGCAGCCCTGGCCCTGTGCCGCATGGGAGAAGGCAGTGAGAGCTTACTTCAGGGAGAGCCCGTCTACTACTAACGCTGGTGAGAAAGAATAAAGCAACTAGAGAACCAATGCGTGTGTGGAAGTTCAATGTAATGCTTCGTGTGGGACAGCAGATGGCTCCCATCTGACACCACAGTGCCTACCCTCTCTCCTGGGTTTCAGCTTCTGGCAAGTGCACGCACTAGGAGCCACGGAAGGCTCCCGTGGGAGGCCAGGACTGAGCTCCTGGCTCCTGGCTTTGGCCTGGTCACCCCTAAAACTGCTGCAGGATTTGGGGGTGGGGGAGGAAGGGAAGTGAGCCAGCAGACAGATCTCTTTCTGTCTCTGCTTGCAGACAGGTACATGGAGATGTCATGCATAAAGGCGGGTCTGTTGTTATTCCCTTTAAATCTGGTCGCCAGACAAGGGGAGAGTACCTTTTTCCCACCACAAAGAGGCCCAGGGATCCCTGCTCTGTCTTCGGAAACATTGATGGCCTTAGCACATGCAATCAAACAGCACTTCAATAACCACGCCAGAAGTTTGAGGCCTTAACAAACAGTGATCCAAACTTTAACAAAGGTTCTTCATTTGAGATTTGCTTTTAAGAATTTTATTTCAGGACACACGCATTGACCACAGACCGTGTACCTGGCAGCCACTGGCGTGTCCAAAGGAAGCCCTCAGTGCGTGCTAGGCGGCACTGCCCTTGTCCAGCCAGGCGGGCTGATCCGAGGCGCACAGCAGCCTGGGAAACAGGCATTGTTTTCTTTCCACTGACAGCGAAGATAAAGTGACTTACTACCGTGCCTTATTTTTACATATAAAGCCAAGAAATTCTAAAAATCACGTTAAAAAGACAATTTTCACTTGGAGATGCCAGGCTTTGATGTTTTATAAGGATAATCACATTCACAATTCTGTTCAGTCACCAATTATACGAAGAGATTTTGTCTGATTTTATGGGGCTCAGAGGGCAGTGATTCTATATGGATCCAATGAAGAGATTCTGTCTCTTGATTAAGCATAATTGAGGAGAAAAAAATTACTCCAGCCTACTCTGAACAGAATGGAGAAGCCATGACAGGTGTTTCCTGCTGAGGGGACTCAGTGCCTCCGTGGCTGGCATGCCTTCTGCGAGGGCAAGGAGTCTGTGCTGAACATGGCTGTGGAGCTCAGCTGTCACCCTATCTCTCCCCTATAAGGGATCTCCAAAGAAGCAATTCTACTAGAAAATTGTTTTGAAATGTACAGAAACATACAATTATTTATTCATCTTTTACCATAAGTAATGTTGAGACCCAAACTTCCGAGGGTAACACTAGGTCAGCCAAGCCACTGAGCAGGTGATACACAGAGACAAATGAAAAGGGACAGTGTGAAACATCAGATTCAAGCAGCAGAAGAGCAAGGACAAGGAAGGAGTAAAGGTGTTACACACAAAGAGCCAAGCAGGGCGTACTCAGAAATCGGGTCCTCCTGCCACCAGGTTTGAATGTCACCTGTTCAGATGCACAGTTAAACTTCGCACAGCCTGTGAGAGGGGGAAAACAGGGGAGAACAGAGAGGAGAAGAGACAGAACACAACTACAAGATGTTAGAAACTCGAGGCTGAAGTGGTGAAATGCACTAAGATGGCACACAGAAGAATAAGCTTCTGGGGAATGTGCAGATAGGTCAGACAAGAAATATCAGGTCTCAGTTCCATCTGGAAAATGCTGAAGCTTTTCTCAACTGCCATAACGCGAGCCAGGCTGTGATGCTCACCAACTGAGCACCTTGTGACAAGATCAGTTAGTTTCTAGGAAATTGTGGCAAGGTGGCCCGTTTTTTTTTTTTTTAATTTTTCATTTTTTTTCACCCAATCAACTCTCTCAACTCTTGCTTAACACTAATGTGAAGTTCTTTCTCCTGCCGAAATGCTCTTATCAGTAATAAACAAAGCTATAACTGGAAATTAGATCACTGACAAAAAAATGTATTAAAGGCCTTTTTCGTAATGATGTTCTCATGACTAGAAAGTTAAAACGTCTACATGGGACAAAAAGTGAATTAATTTTCAGAAACTGCTATAACTCTCCAGGATTTTGCCAAGAAAAATCTGTCTAGCATTTAGCTGAAGTTCAAAATCCCAAATGAGTTGCTCATATTGGTTGCAGACAGATATTTTCATCATAATCTCTTGAAGAAAAGCTACTTCACCTGATGAGTCTACTGATGCCAGCCATGGCTCCATTTCTCGTGTAGCATATAACACACAGGCTATGCCTCGGTCAGCTGATCACCTGACCCACCTAATGACAGGTTATTCATCAGGCTTTTGTCCTAGGTTTGGCAAGAGCTCCACTTCTGTGTTTGTGGAAGATGATGGCAAAGCTTTGATTTCTTACCTTGACCTGGAGCAGAAAGGCTTGGTACTGAAATGGCACCATCACTGGGGAAGGCTGAGTAGAGGTTATCACTGGAGGGAGATGGCTTAAGAGGCTGTAACAGCTGATTCTGCCCGGTCTCTGAGATGTTGCCAGGAGGGTGGAGGGTTTGCTGGGGGTGCAAGACGGAAGTTGCACTCTGACCAGACAGGTTACCTGCCAAAAAGGAGTAAAGCAGCATAAGGAAAAATATATGCAGGTGCCATTCAAATACGGCCTTCATTTACAGAAGGGCAAGGAAGGGGTGACACACAATCATTCTTTTGTCTTTTAGAAAAGATGCTTATCATGGTAAAGAATTTTTTCCCCCACAGTCTGCTTTTTTGTGAAAATGCCAAGAGATTAACACAAAAGAGGAGCTAGTGGAGGTACTGGCTCAGGTACCAGGCTCCTGGTCTCAGTCACTGGGCATCTTGGAAGCGGATTAGTGGACAGGAGCGCTCTGTCTCGCAAGTAAAAGGAGGGAGGAAAGGAAGAAAAGCAGACACAAAAGGTGTCAAAAAGATATAGGTAGGTACAGAATAATTAGTATTTATAAATATTGGTAGTTGCTGCAATATAAACCAACCATCCTAAAAACTACCTGCTTGTTCTCCAGTTACTAGTTGAATAGAAGTCCACTCAAGAAGTATGTCAAAGTTGGGATCGCAACCTAAACCAGCTGAATTCCATTATAATCATCACAACACTGCTAATGGGTTTGTGAATTAGTCCTCAGATGCTGGAGAACAGGTTTGGGCATCTATAAAGTCTTCTAACAATGTAGGGTTGCTAAGAAATTTGAAACTGCTCTCAACATATTTAAATTAGATCTGGAGATCAATATGAAACAAAATCCATGTTAGCCCTCTTAACTAACTTATCTGTTAACACTAAAAGATTTTAAGATTAAAAACCATTTAAATTAATATATAAAAATTATAACCCATCATAAGAGATTATGATCTAACTATTTGATTACAATCATTACCAAATTCTTTTTCACAATAAAGATAAATGAAATAAAAGGTTTTAACAGCAGTAGGGGGCATCTGACTCAGTCATTGAGATGGCAAGCCACAGGGGAGTGCCTCACTTCAACTGCTGACTCCACTCCACACTCCGGCTTCCGGCTAATGTGGACCCTGGGAGATAGAAGAGGTGACAGCACAACCCCCTTTGGATACAAAGAGGAGACCTGAATTGAGCTGCTGGCACTCAGGCATTTGGAGAACAAACAGTGCACGTCTTTCAAACTAAAAACAAGGGCAATCCCCCAAAAAAGTTATCCAAGGAAATCATCACTGGTTCGTATGCAAGCACTGATACGGCATTTGCATTCAGTCCAGCTGCAATTCTGACCGACTTATTAAAAGGAAGGATACAGTGTATTCTCCCAACTGTCCAAATTTGGTTAGACTTGAGTTATGTAAGTTAACAGGCAAGGTTATGTGTGTGTGTGTGTGTGTGTGTGTACTTTAAAAGACTTATTTCTATTTATCTGAAAGGCAAAGGAATAGAGAGGGAGACATGGAGAGACAAAGATGGATCTTCCATTTACTGGCCCACTCCCCAGATGGCCACATTGTCCATGGGTAGGTCAGGCAAATCCAAGGTCCTGGAACTTCTTCCAGGTATCCCATGTGTGTGCTAAAGGGCCAAATACTTGGCCAATCTAGTTTCACAGACTCAAAAAGAGGTACACTAAATACAGTGGTAGGGAAGGAAGCAAGAATATTAGGAAAGACAAACACCTTTGAAATTTAACAAAAATAACAAATAGGTTAGTTACATGCACAGTTTGAAGACAGAAACGAAGGATGGCTGAGGGCTTTTACCTGAAAGCTGAGGGCTTTTATTCCCCAAGGAACTGCTACGACTAGACTTGCTGCCCTTGCCTTTCGTGGGTCGCCTTCTTCTTCCTGAAAGGGGAGCAGCTGCGGGAATAATGACAGCAGGGGGAACCTTGCCCAGTTTGGTATACAAACATTCGATTTCATGTTTTTGGCGACTCTGTAGATCTTGAATCTCTTTAAGATGCCTAAAAACATAATAAAACAATTCAAAATATTGTAACCATTATTGTTCAAATGAGAACTAACAGCAAACTTTACACTGTATTCAAATACACTAGCACTGATCTGTCAACTCATCTTACTGATCCCCACAACACAAGCCAACTCCCCAGAAACTCTTGGTCAATCACAAACAATACATCGGGGGAGATCTTCGGATTTTTGAGAGCATATATATAGGATGGCTTAATTTGGTATTTAACATAATTTTCTAAATATAATTAACAAAACCTGCAACATATTTATATGTGCTGGTGTCATTAATGGATTCCTTTGGTAAACTAATAAACAGCCAAGAGTGGATAATAGTGGTAAGAATTACTACCAACAGAAGAATACATACTTTTCTCGTAATCGTCGCAACTCTAACTTGAGGTCTTCATCTTCAATATCTGATTCGTTGTCACTACTCATGTAGGAGGAGTTGAATGAATTACTAAGGCTCTGACTTAGATTCTGAGTAGGAAGGCTCTTTGAGCTCAACTGGTGGGGGGAGTGTGGACTACCTGAACCTTCATCAACATCCCTACTTAAAAAGGCAGCCTCAAGGTCAGAAGATGGCCCGTTCAGATGCGAAGGCTCGGCAAGTTCAGGCTTTTCTTTCTTTGGTATCGCAGCAGGAGGAATAGCTTGTTCTGGATCCATAAAAGGAGGAGATGTCACTGGTCCTTCTTTTCTGCCCTCAGCTATCTCGTCCTCAGTTCTTGACACAGAGAAACGACCCACTTTGTTTGCTGTAGTTGTCACCTGAAAACGTCCAACCTTAGCAGGCTGCCCAGTTTCCGACTGTGTCTCCGAGATAAGTGTTGTGTGGGTGCTATGTGGCATCCCTGAAGAGATGCTGGGGATGGCCATTCCCTTAGGCTCTGGCTTCACCAGGGTACTCTCTGGACTACTACTTGATGATAGCACTGAGGACTCTGAAGTGCTGGATTCAAAATGAACAGACTTTGTATCTTCTGTCTTACTTTTACTCTCTTTCTGGGCATCATCCATTGCAACTGAAACCTGACAGAAAAAGAAAAAGATTAAAAACTGAAGTTCCAGACCCGACACGGTAGCCTAGGGCTAATGTCCTTGCCTTGCAGGTGCTAGAATCCCATATGGGTGCTGGTTCTAATCCCGGCATCCCTGCTTCCCATCCAACTCCCTGCTTGTGGCCTGGGAAAGCAGTCAAGGTCTTGGGACCTTGCACCTGCGTGGGAGACCGCAAAGAAGATCCTGGCTCCTGGCTTTGGATCAGCTCAGCTCCAGCTGTTGTGGCCACTTGGGGAGTGAATCATCAGACTGACAATCTTTCTCTCTGTCTTTCCTCCTGTCTGTATATTGGACTTTCCAATAAAAATAAACAAATCTTTAAAAAACAAAAATACAAAATGGAAGTTCCTAAAATCCAACTGGTAACATGGACCATTAAAATGTAATCTCTTTATTTTCCAATCAGTATTTAGGTTGTTTTTTACATAGCCTTTCCATCTTTGACTGTGAAGCTAAACTGAATATCACAATGGAGTACAACACATCTGTAATGAAATATGTATTTGGAAGGACTGGCTAAGCTTAATAAGTACATGATACTAAAGAGAGGATCTAGGGATGGCCCTGTAGGGTAGTAAGTTAAGCCTCTGCTGGCATTTCATATAGATGCTGGTTCAAGTCCCAGCTGTTCCATGATCCAGCTCTCTGCTTATGACCTTGGAAAGCAGCAAAAGAGGGCCCATGGCTTGGGCCTTTGCACTCACTTAGGAGACCCAGAGAAAGCCCCTGACTCCTGGCTTTTAGTTCTGCGCTGTGATGCCATCTGGGGAGTAAACCAGTGGATGGAAGATTACAAAAACTCAGTCCAGTGGCTAACTGACAGGATCTCAGTATACAAACGAAAAAAAAAATTTTTTTCTTCCTATCCTCAACTTCAAGGCCTAGTAAGAGAATAATCTCAAAGTGCTATGAAACAATGAAAGGAATAGATTTGCAAAGTTTGTTTAACATTACACACAAAGAAGCTAGAAATGCTTACTTCATTGAATAAGTGGTAGAATAAACCTGACATGGTTTCATATGGGACAATGATTCTGTATATTCACTTAAGGAATTAAACCTACAAAATTACCATAAATATGAAAAACTGTTTAGAGACGAAGATGTTTATGTTTACTGTTCTTCACTTATTATACTAATAGAAAAAAAGAAGCAACACCTAACATTAAGAGAGCAACAAGGTGAACTAACCACCACAGAAAAAAGCAAAAAAGTATCCATGAACGTGTTCAACTTTAGATACACACTTGCATAGGAAATCAGGAATGAAGGAAAATATACCTTAAGAACGAATCTTGGCTGGGGAGGGCAGATGATGGACCACCATTTCTCTACTGTGCTAGCAAAAATCACTGAACTGGCAATTATGGTTCAAGGAGGGCATTTTACTCTATACACAACTTTCCCCAAAGAGGGAATGAAGGCAAAGAAAAGCAACTGCCTTACCTGAAACCGTCCCATCGTGAACACCCCAGCTCCTGAACTAGCTGCTGGCACAGGACCTCCGGTGCCCTGAGAAACTGAAGCACACACACACAAGACGGCAATAGTCAGTCAGCTTTCACTTTGGTCAGAAATTTAGGCCCAACACATGTCTCATCTTTTTCTCAACAATTTGAAGGGCTAAAATGTGAAATCTTTTTACATTCCCCACTTATTTCACAAACTTTTAATTATCTGATTCATTTTTATTCTACACACACATTTATGGTATACAGCCTAAGATTTTATATTCTACATTCCCGTAAATGTGTCCATTTCTAGATTTCCCAGTTCATTCTATTAATCTGTGAAAGACTTCTTCTAAAAGGAGAGAACCAATTCAAAATCTAATTGCTAGATTAACTGGAATTTTACATTTATATCTATTTTTACTTCCAGGCTATTGAAACTTGAATATCAGTACCAACACTTCTCAGCCATCAAGTACAACAAGGTCAAGAACATGCCTTTGAAAGAGTAAATCTCTAAAATCAAGGACAGGCAGGACACTGAGTAGTGACACAGAAGACATGTATGTCTCACCTTCCTTCTGAGGCTGTGCTCCTGCTTCTGTCCCCGCTGCTGGAGCCACCGTGGACACAGGCTGCAAAACACACACACAGTAACAGCTTTACCTGCAGCTGTTCTCAAATGTTTTCCCTGTTGCTTTTTCTCTGGTCTTCTGGGCTGTGATACAGTATCACTCACCAGAAGCTAAGATACAAAAAGCATCTTTTAAATAAAATTTTTCCACAGTTACAGTACTGGGGCAGCATTAAATTTTCATTGATCTGTTTCATTACTATTGGTTCTAATAAGCAGGACACTGAGGAGGTGTTAGAACATTAAATATAACACAATAAGGTTACAAAAAGATTCTGTCAAGCTTTTAAAAACTTACGCCGACCACAGATGTCACTGCAACAGTCTCCGGACTGAGCGTTCTTCTCAACTGAGCATCAAGATCTTCCAGGGGCTGCTGAGGCTGAACAAAACAATCACAGTAACCACTGTGTTTTAATACCTTCAACGTCACTGTACACAGTCAATTTACATGGAACACGTTACTGCAGCCTTTAGTGCCACAACCTTTGTCTTCCATTAATACAAAACCCAATATTCTAATTTTAGCACACTGCTTTGATGATTCACCAGTTTCTCAATACTGTATGTTCACCTATCAAGACTTAAGTAATCCACAGTTTCAGTAGAGTAAAACATAGTAGCTTTCACAGTCTCAAAGTCTTTCTTATTTTCTATGTTTGATATTACCCACAGTGACAGAAACTTTTTTGTTCTCCCTTTGAAAATATATTTTGCAGGGACAGCATTGTGAAATAGCCAGTTAGGCAACTGCCTGCGATGCCAGTGTTCATTTATGGGTACCATGTGGAGTCCCAGCTGTTTCGCTTCCAATCCAGCCCCCTGTTAATGCACCTAGGAAAAAAGTGGAAGATGGGCTGGGTGCTTGATTCCCAACACCCCTGCGGGAGACCTGAATGAAGCTCCTGGCTTCTGGCCACAGCCTGGAAGGGACTTTTGCCCTTGCCCCTCTAGCCATTTGGGAAGTGAACCAGCAGAGAGAATATCCATCTCCTAAGTTTCCTATTTTCTTTCTCAGTTTTACACACCTTTCTGGGAACCTGTCTCTAATAAGCAAGCAAACAAACATTTATTTATTTGAAAAGTAGAGCTACAGAGAGAGAAGTAAAGTCAGAGAGAGAGATCATCCACCAGCTGGATCCCTCCCAAAATGGCTGCAAGGGCCAGAGCTGGGCCAGTCTGAGGCCAGGAGCTTCATCTGGGTCGCCCACATGGATGCAGGGGCCCAAGGACTTTTCCAGGTGCATTATCAAAAAGCCTGATAGGAATGGAACAACAAGGACTCAACTTGGTGTCCATATAGGATGCCATAGATATGAGATGCAGGTGTTTCAGGTGGTAGTTTAGTCACAATGGGAAAATGTCCTTAAGAATAAAAGATTGCATTAATAAGTTCTGTCATTCTTAAGGAACTTTTTTCTTCAGTTTTTACCAATATATACTTCTACTTTATAGATGGGAAGTAAGGGGGGGTTTTAAGCATTCAATCTTATTAATCATGTTTTTGCCACTTACCAAATGCAATGGCTTTTACCCCTGCCACAGTATATCGACTTTTTTCTCTCTTGCTTTTAAGGTTTTATTTATTTTACTTGAAAGTAAGACACTGACAGATTTTCATTCTGCTGATTCACTCCCCAAATGGCTGCTATGGCCAGAACTGGGTCGGTGTGAAGCTGGGAGCAAGGAGCTTCTTCCTGGTCTCCCATGTGGTACGGGGGCATCCTCCTCTGCTTTCCCAAGCTATTAGCAGGGAGCTGGATTGGAAGTGGGACAGCTGGGTCACAAACGACACCCATACGGAATGCTGGTGTGACATACAAGGGGTTAGCACACTATACATTGCACCTGATCCATATCACTCTCCTTGTTTTTTGAAGATTTCTTTGTTTATTTGGAGGGCAGAGTTATACATACAGAGAGACAGAGAGAAGATTTCTATGTGCTATTTTACTCCCCAAATGGCTCCAAAGGTAGATTGTGCCAGGACAAGGGCAGGGCTTCTTGCAAACAGATGCAGGGGCCCGAGGACTCGCTCTTCTACATGCAGGTCCTATTCATTAGACTTCTCTGCACGTAAGTTCTACCTGTTTATATTTCCCAGCTCTCATTTGCTATTTCTCATTATTCTGAACTCCTAGGAAATGAAACACAAATTTTTAAAACCCAACTTCCAAGTTAAAAAGACGGACAAACAACACACATTTATATGCTTTGCATATCAGTCAGTATGAAAGCAGAATAGTCAAACTAGGATTCTCAAGTTAGCAACTAACCATGTTTCTCTTACTAATGATTCCAAAATAAATTCTTATGTTAACATTTAGCTTGTCCTATGTCAGAAACCTTTTGTTTTTACAATGGCTTAGGGGATGGTGGGGTGGGATAGGAAAGGGAAGTGAAGTTCAAGCACTGCAGGTAGTTCTGACCATTGTTCAGGGAGAGATGAAACTCTCCAGCTCCCACTGCCCATCTCAGTTCCTCTCTGAAATCCCACAGTGTCAGCATTTTGCTGACCTGAACAGTTTTTATAGTATATAGTACATATAAAATATGTGTATATAGCTATATACACATATAATACACATTTCATATAATAAACTGTATTATATTGTTACATCAACAGGTATCTATGTGTTAAAATCATATATTAAAGAGATCACTATATATTTCATGCAACATCACCTCCAATCCACCTATATGTAAACTCAGCATTTCATTAGATGGTCAAGAAAGAAATGATAAATATTCAAGAAAAAGCTGTTGTACTGAATTCACGGAAAGGATATGCTAATCAATGTGGCACCCCTTTGCCTGCCAAGTCACTTTCAAAGTTAATTCTGAATGTTTATAAATTGTTTTTTCCACAATGGCATGGAACTGAATCTCATATTTAAGATATGATTTCACTACACTATTCTGCAAAAGCGGGAATGATAAAAGGAGCTAAAATATTTATTTTGTAAAATGTCAATGTGGCATTTTCTACCTTGTTAGGATATGAAGAAATATTAATATTAAGTGTTTTCTAGATACTATGAAGTAATATAAACAGAAAAACTGTGACGATTCTTATTCTAAGTATGTTCCAGGTCATGATTTACATGGTTTTCATATGCAGGTGTTAGTAAGTCAGAATCAAGAAAGAACTATGAGGCAAGACCATGCAATGAAGAATATATAAAGAAAGAAGAGAAACAGAAAGAGAAACAGGCCAAGTCTTGAGGCACCTGACTTGGTGAAGGTCCCAATAAAGGTGGCAACTACTCGCTAGGTAGAGTACCAGCTGGAAGTTCAGTACTCCCTGGCAGCATCTACAATGAGGGGGAAATTCAAGCCCATGAGATACCACTATTAATAGTATTCATATTAAAGAACAAATCAATTAATTTAAATGCAGAAGCATCAGGTTAAAATATAGGCAGTTAACACTGGTTTAGCATCACCTAAGTTACATTCTGGTAGCAGTCTTACATACAGGAGATTATTAGCAATGATTCTACTATAGAAGTTACTACAAAAGTACTAAAAATTGGAAAAGGTTCCTCCTTAGGGAAAATAGAAAACAAAGACTGCGAGCACCTCATAGGAACAGTTATGAAACTCTTCAACCACTTCTGCTATACAGTATTATTACATCAGGTTTTTGCTCAAGAAAACACTTTTCCCGGGGCAGGCCCTATTAGCACTGCTGTTTGTAGTGCCAGCATCCGAACGGATACCAGCCTCTTCACTTTCCATCCAGTTTCCTGCTAGAGTGTCTAGGAAGGCAATACAAGATGGCAAAAGTGTTTAGGCCCCTTCATCCACACAGAAGCCCAGAAGAAGCTTCCGGCTCCTGGTTTTGGCCTGACCTGGCCCTGGTTGTTGCAGCCATTTGGGGAGTGAACCAGTAGATGATCTCTGTCTCTCTCCCTTGTCATTCTGGCTTTCAAATATAAATAACTTTTTAAAAGAAAAAGAAGAGGGCCCCATCAGTGTGGCCTAGCGGCTAAAGTCCTCGCCTTGAATGCACCAGGATCCCATATGGGCGCTGGTTCTAATCCCGGCAGCTCCACTTCCCATCCAGCTCCCTGCTTGAGGCCTGGGAAAGCAGTCAAGGACGGCCCAAAGCCTTGGGACTCTGCACCTGTGTGGGAAACCTGAAAGAAGTTCCTGGCTCCTGGCTTTAGATCAGCTCCAGCGGTTGTGGTCACTTGGCGAGTACATTATCGAATGGCACACCTTCCTCTCTGTCTTTCCTCCTCTCCATATATCTGACTTTCCAATAAAAATAAATACATCTTTTTAAAAAAATTCTCTTGTTCAACGTGTATCCTAAAACTACTGTCAATCTGTCAAGTGCCTACAAAAAGTTGGGTACCTTTATAATTACATGTCTAAGTTGTGATGTTAATTTGAAAAATGGAGACCAGCACAGTGATCATACCTAGCTATTGTATAACAAGGATCTTGCCTGAGTCTTAGTTAAAGGTAGTTTTGAGGCAGCACTTCCAGGCTTCACTCCTGATGCAGTGCAGACTGGAGCTGAAACGTAAGTGCCTGGTGTAGAAACCTGCCCAGGTGTAACCACTGGTATGACTGGTAAACCAGTTGTTCCTAATGGCAAATTAGTAGATGGCAATGAAGTACTTGTAGTGCAACTAGTCAGTTTGCTTGATGCAACAGCAGTGGTTGGGATGGCCGGTGTGACTGTAGTCTACTACCAGTGATGTCTCCAGTGAGAGAGGCATGCTGAGCTCCAGATGAGCTGTGTTCACTGAAGAGAGACCGCAGTTTTTCTTCAAGAGTTTTTATGTCATCA